ATGAAATTGACAAGAATATTTATATGAAACAACTACCGAGATATATTTTTATTTTCAAACTAGATTATATTTGCAAGCTCTAGACCCTCAATAAGTTAAAACAAGCTCCCAAAGCATGGCATGAAAAAATTACTTAATACTTACATTTATGTGAATATTTTCTTTTCATTAGAACCTAGCTCATTTATTAAAAAATACCAAAGTCTACATATTATTATTTATATATATATGGATGATATGATTATCACTAATGACGAAATAGATATTTCAAAGCTTTGTGGTGATCTTGCTTTCATGTTTAAAGTGAAAGTCTTACGAAAGCTTAATATTTTTCTAGGTGATGAATATAAAAGAAAATATATTTATATCTCAAACAAATAATATAAAGAAAATTATTGAAAGATTTAGAATTAACAAAAGTAAGAAAATTTCTATTCCATGATACAAATATAAAGCTAAGTTATAATAATAACAATGTTCTCATCTACCTAAAAATAACAAGGCTATATATTGCATTTTCAATTGGTCTTGTAAGTTGTTTTATGTAGCTATATTTTGATGCAGAGAATTTTAAAATATGTAAATTATATTCTTGATTTGGGATTATTCTATAAGAAGGACATACATATTGGATTATATAATTATATATATGCTAATCTGGGAGGTGATTTGGATAATTATAGATCTACTTCTGGTTATGTATTTTTTATATAATTTTGTTTATATCTCACGGTATAGTAAGAAATAATAATTGACTTCTCTTTCTATAACCGAAGTAGAACATATGGCTTCCTCTATAATGTATATGGTTAAAGCATTTAATCGAGGATGCTTATTATAAATTAACAAGCAAACTATTTTATAGTATGACAACCAAAGTACCTTAAAATTAATTACAAATTTAATTTATCATACAATAACCAATCACAGTAAAATTAAATATCATTTTATCTAAAAAATATTATTCAAGGAATCATTAAGTCATAGATATCAAAGGCAAAGATAATATCGTAAATATCTTTACCAAATCTCTTTTCAAAGGATCACTTAAAGATCTTCAATAATCTCTAAAAATATACTTTAAGGAGGATTGTTAAGACTTGATGTATATCTTTTGAAAGATTTTATATTATTATATTTTACCTTTTAAAAAAGTTTATTAGATAGAGTTATAAAGATGAGAATCTCTTAGTTTAAATTGTTAATTTATACTTATAAATAGATGACATATGCGTAGATCCATTCAAGTCTAATTGTTTAGGTCTATAGAGCTTAGATTAAAGAGTAGTTCAAGATCCTATAAGTATTTTTTTTAGAAGTTTAACACACACACACACACACACACACACACACACACAC